CAATGAGATCAGATAATGTTTCGAAACAAGTTTCAATGTTGCGTCAATATCGAGTTGGTTCGTTTTAATAATATTTTTTATAAAATTTCAGCTTGAAACAAAGATTTTCATGTTAATCAATTGACTTTTTAGGTGAACTTCCTGACATAGAGATTAAACATAATGACATTATCGGCCCATTACAAGCTTTGGCGCATAGGGACTTGGATATTTCTCGCATTTTGTTTTCTACATTGTTTGTTTCTATTCATGACGCCACTAAAGATGATCCGAGCATGGTAAAACAAAAATAAAAAAAAATAATGTTTTTGTGTAATGTTGAAATAGTTTAAGAGTAACATTTGCTTTTTTTTTTTTTTTAGGATACTAACGAACAAAATGATTACACAAATTCGATGTCTCAAAATATTCAGACCATTTTCAGCGCAACTACATCATATTTTCCACCTTTAATTAGTAGTTGTCTACGAATATGTTATGAAATTTCTGATATCAAAATTGATCCTTTAGCAATTCGGAGGGTTAGTGAAATGAGCTCGACAGAGTCAATGGGTATAGGGTTAATTGAACAACATTTGACACGGATCACTATTCAAAGGGGTAAGTATTTATATTTTGTACTCAATATATAGTTGCTATCACTCAACATGCCAAAACATTAATCTTGTAGAATCAAAGAGAACACGTATTACAAATACTGGCCTCGTCGCCGAAAGTAAACAACCGTGGATAGAGTTAGCACATCTTTATAAATCAATCGATAGTAGTGATGTATATAAGAGCATATATGAAAACTACATTGCTCACAATCAATATACTAAGAGTATGTATACTTGTTATTTTTATCGTATATTATATTTTTTTTATACATGTTTATTATTTTCAAATAGATGCTCTTAACGCTGAGTTAATAGGCGATTACGCCTCAGCGTGTGAATTTTATTTGCAAGCATTAAGTGAGGTAGAAGATGCTGATGATGCTGAGGTTTGTATCTTTAAAATCTTCAATCCAACTCATTGATGATTTCTCATATTTGCTATGCACTCTTTTTTATAGGTCACAATTTGGGAAGAAGGAAGATTTGAATGTTTCGAAAAATTATCAAAATGGGATGACTTGGCCGAAACTGTGTACGTGGATATTGATTCAGATTTTGATAAGCTTTGGGATCAAGACTTTCAGGTATCTAAAATTTTAAGCAATCCACTAAATATGCTTAATTTGTCCAATAACTAATTTGTTATATAATTTTATAGTATCCATATCTTCAATATTTCATGCACAGTTTGTTCAAATTAACGCATGGACAAAATGATGAAAGTTATTGTGACATCTTTTTTAATTTCATTGATCGCTCTGTGTCTGATCCGGATCGAAAATCTTTCTTAACTGCTCAATACCCGATTGGTAAGTCAACATACTCTTAATTGTTGTGTTTATTATCCAATTCTTATTATTAATTTCTTAGTGTCATTTAGAACTCGCGTTAACATCAATAACGCGTAATGATACAGAACAAGCGCTTTTTTATATTAGGAAAGCGTATGATAATTTCTTGTTTACGTGGTCTACTTTACATCCGTTAGCATCTAGCACGAGATTGAGTAAACTGAGTTCTCTGCAACAGGTAGCAACTACTTCTACATGATTTTAAACAATTACATTTAAAAATTAGCTAATTCAACTTAACGTTAGATTGTTGAAATGGAAGAATTTTTGAATTTGTCCCAGTCATCGGAGGAATCAGAAAAATGGGAAAAACTGATTAGTCATTGGAAAAACAGGTAATTTCATTTATCAATAATTTCATTTATCGATTTTAGGTAATTTTCAATTTAATTTTTTGACAATATTTACTTTGAATAGGTATCCATCAAAACGGCTTGATCCTAGCAATAGTTGGGATGATATAATAACAAGTCGTCACTCGCTACTTGGTGCTATGATGAAATTACTACAAGAAGATATGCATGTAAGTGATGTTCGCATGTATTTGTTCTGTAGAATATTATTTTTATTTAAATTATTATTTATATAGTTCGTTGAGATTAAAAATTCACTGGAACGTGATGGTTTACTTAAAATGGCTTCTGCAGCAAGAGTTCAAGGCAATTTTGAAGTTGCCCGGGTTTGTCTCAACAAAACAAGGCAATCTAGGCTTTACGATAATAAAGAATTGGCTTATCATCAATTGAAACTTAATCTTCAAGAAGCTTTGACCACCGTTAACATTGAAAAAAAATTAAACATCTTGGTGGCGATGACTGATGAATTTAAGAAAGTAGAGGTATTGAATAAAAAATTTCCACCTATAATAATTATCAAATGTTTGGTATTTTAATGTTTATTAACAAAATCTTTAGATTATGGATGTAGAAACTAATATGAAAAATCGCGTGATAGAAAGCGATACGTATGCAACGTTAGCTGCCATACTTGATAATAACGAAAATCGGGATTTAGCACGTTCTATTCAACATCGTAAAGCACATTTTATCGTTGAAGGTTATAATCTTTTAAAAGATGCTGCCGAGAAAGCTGTTTCACACCTGAAGGTATGAGAAAATCTCGAGTTATTAAATTTTAAGTTTATATTTATTATCTTACTATTATTTATTGATTTTTTTTAGCCTGTGAACCGAGCTAAAATATTTGTCAAATTTGCAAAATTCTGCGATTATTATTTGCGAAATTTGGAATCGACCGATGGGGACCAAAGAAGGGTAAATAAATCTATTATGTATATTCTTTTTTATATTATAAATTCGGTTTAACATATTTGATACGTGTAGGTTTCTTTTGATAGTGGATTGTATGCATCTACAGTCGTTGAATATGTTTTAAAAGCAATGGAAGATTGTTCAAAGGAAGCATCCGAATTATTTCCAAGATTGCTTCAGATAATTTGTATCTATGATAATACACAATCGACTTTTAAGCAAATGGTATTTGTTTTTGTTACTGAAGAAAAGTGGATTTCTTGGGGAAGCAATTCAATTGCATTATCTTTTTCATAGGTATCATCGTTTGGCCCCGTATGGAAATTTATTCGTTGGATTCCTCAGATTGTTGCCATTTTAGACAAACCCATTGCACAATGTGTTTTTCCAATATTGTACAATGTAAGCTTTCTATACATAGATATATATTCATTAAAGCATTTGAATCATTAATGAGATATCTTGTGTCTTACCGTTACATAAACAGCTCGCGGAGCAATATCCAAAAAGTCTATATTACCCATTAAAAATTAGCAGTGAACATTACAATTTTGATGAAAAATCTAAAGAGGCGGAAATTAACAAGTCAAGAGTTCAAAATCTTAAGCAATTGATAAAATGTGAAATAACTGATACTTTGATTGCTGAATTGCAAAGACTTATTGACCCAGAAATTCACTTTGGGAATTGGTTTCAGACAGTTTGGGTAAGAATTTTTTTATAGCATAAATATTTAAAGCTTTAAAAGCTGTACTGACTTTTTTTTAATATATAGTCTTTAATCAGGTCAAAGACTACAGAAACTGACGGATATGAAGAAATTAAAAAATCATTTCAAATAATGAGGACTTTTCTCTTGGATATTCAGAATCCTCATTATGGGCTGTTTGATATCCTTCAATGTTTTAAATAGCATTTTTTTTAACTGACTAGTTAATGTACTTAATAAAACTATCAATCCTTAACTTTTTTTATTACCTAAAGAATTTGCAAACCGGCATGCTGATCATTTGATAAAATCTTGCGGTAATTTCTAGTTTCTTGACGATACCAATGTTATCGAGTTTTGTAATTATAAATTAAACTTTTTTCATTACTTTAGGAAGAGATGGATCTAAATTAGCGAGGTTTCCTCTGTCAGAATTTCGAGAAAAAGTTTGGGAC